GTTTTAACGAAAATATAATGTCTTTGCAAGAAACTTATTCTATGCAGCCATTCTGACAAGCGGAGTCGCTCCAACCACCCAGTTGAATGAATTCTAAAGCCTACCCACCACCCTATCCACGTGATGATGATCGTCTCGTACGTGACCTTTCTATCATAAAAGTTTGTACTTCAAAGCGATATCTGAATATATTACTTCTGTTAGCTAAGGAATGATCTACAAAAATATATATAAAAAACAAACACACAGAAATCACTGAGCATATCCTGTTCGTGCGGTTACCTGTGTTAGAAAAAATAATTAAATAACTAATTAACTAAATAAATAAATAAATAAATAAATAAATTTATATTTTTCTCAGCTCGAATTCAACAAATCCTGCAACCTTATTGGTTCCTGGAGCGGGCGGAATTTTCCCATCCGGACTTATCCGGACCGCCACAGCGAGCGGAATCCGTCGTGTTGATCTATTTTCGTGAACGAATTAGCGGTAATCGTCAATCTTTCGCCCTTTTTACACTTCAATAGACGATTAATCAACACAAGTTTATCTTTGTTCACCTTTAAATGGCAAGGAAAGTCCCTGTAAGTAAATTCAATTGAGTTTTTGAAGTTGTGAGAGTTTGTTTGGCTGTTTGTAGCTCGGCGCTGTAATGGCGCGTAATCTTGTGTGTCTCTCTCTGTCAAATTTTAAGCAAAAAATGAGTCAATTTCAGTGGAGTTTACTTCTCCGATCGTTGCTATATTTGAGAGAATTTCTGTGGAATACATTTAACGAATTTCCCCGCTATCTGCTACTCAATTTACGTTAGAAAAGTCTGATTTCGAGTGATTCGGAACGACTGACAAAAATTGTTTTCGTAGTACAACTTCAAACCTTGCACGAAATTTCACACCGGAAAAATAATTTTGGAGAACTTAACTGGTGAACTAAATCCAACTAACATAAAGTAGTTCATAAATCTGTTCTTTAGTACTTCTTTCTTTGTCTAGTATCTGAGTTACTCGCTCGTTAGATTTTTTGCGAATGGTTTGTAGACGGTGCGTAAGCCGATTCAATGACAACGTTGCATAAAAACAAACCCACTTGTAAGCCAATTTACAGCAGGAAAAAAAGATAAATATGTTATTGGCCGGCTTAGGGTCGGTCCGTAAAGTGAAAAACTGTGACCTCGGGCTTGAAAATGCTGCCCTCCGTCTGTAGCCTCCAGCAGCATTTTCAAGACCTCAGTCACAGTTTTTCACTATACGGGCCTCCCACCCGGTCAATAATTAACACTTAATGACTGGTCCTGAGGGGAACAGTGAATTTTGTTTCTCGAGAATCTCAATGTTTCCCGAAACGAAGTCGAGAGAACATTGAGATCAGAGGGAAACAAAATTCACTGTTCCCTCAGGCCTGTCATTAAGTGATTTGTTATATAGCAAAACAAATGGGTCAAACCGGTGCAAAACAAATAATCACTTTATTGACAAATGACGTGCAACAGCGGTCAACATTTCGCGGGTAACAGTGAACTGTTTCCCGTTTGACGTCATAGTTTCGCAATGTTGCCCGCTCGAGGCATTTGGCGGGAAACAGTTTCATTGTTAGATGTCATGTGACCATGAACTAGCCAATGAATGGGCGCACTGTAGCGGGAAAAACGCCAACTATATAACAACATATATGTATGTACGCTAATAACCTGAGTGTGGCTAATAACCTGAGTGGCCAGAAACAAGCTCATTCTCCTCCCCGGTCTCCTTTAGTTTCCCTTCAGTGCTACAATCTTCGTCGGAAAAGTCGAATCTAAATGGTTTGTTTTACTTTCCTCATATACTTATCAATACTTGATTCGTTTTTTTAAAAGTTTGTAACTGAGATATATTTCGTTGCTCAAAAAACAAAACAACTGTGTTATGCATAAGGGCCTTTGAGAAACTCAACGGTCGATTCTTGACCTCGTGCGCGTGTGGTTGTATATAAAATCCACAAATGCATAGTTCTGCAGTTCGAAGCTTCACTAATCTTAATCGCCTCGTTGTTGGACGTATGTGTCGTTGATTATTTGCTTAGAAAGCTCTCTATTTCGAAGACAAAGAAAACTCGATGCGTATAATTTGCCGTATAATTATCTCACCTAGTTTCCATTAATTGAATAGTCAGATGGCTCCCAGCTTATCTCAACCATTCGTGTCTTATATGCCTTGACAATGTCGAGCTTCGCACTAGAAGCTAAGGAAGAATGTACAGGCCATGAAAATCCTACGTTTTTACAGTAGCGGCGAACCCGAGATCGAAGAACTGCTGGATGGCTCCCTCTTTCGGCCCGACTTTGCACAAGTCATCACACTTCTTCCGTCTTTTTCTCGCTTCTGGACGAGTGTAATTGGGATAGAGGTATTGAATGAAGACGATTGCTCTCTCCTAAGCATGCTGTACTACGAATCCCTCCAAAAGCACATTTTCCTTGCATTCTGCAACGATTTTAAGTCACATTATCGCCTGTTCGCATATATTCTTCTTAGAAGCAAAACATTTTAGTCATCGATGACGTCACAGGTCAACTTATGCTATTCCTCGGTCGTGGGCGCGGAAAGAGCTAATTTTACGGACTTTAAAAATTCATAGTAAATTAACGAAAACAGCTACAACGATAATTTTTTCGCAGTGGTGATCAGAAAAGTAAGGAGATTTATATAGGTGAAAAAACATTTTGGGGGTTATGGCTGAACTTTAAAGAGATCGTCAGTTTTGAAAACTTTAAAGCGAACTTAAAGTTGTTGCTTAAGTTTCCTAATTTGCAAACTTTATGTTCGATAAGGTAAATGTCGGCTTTAACCTTTAATGACTTTAATGACCTTTAAGCTCCGCAACAAAGTGCCGCACACCAAAGCTAACTAGACCGGTATACCGACTATGAAATGAAACCGTTTTCCTGGGCTTCTGTCGCTATCATTGAACAGTTTAGCATTTACTGTATTTGCCGCATACCAAAGCTAACTAGACCGGTATACCGACTATGAAATGAAACCGTTTTCCTGGGCTTCTGTCACTATCATTGAACAGTTTAGCATTTACTGTATTTTTCGTGACAAAACTTTTATCTACAGCCCATCAAATACTCGTCCATGGGCAAATCTGAATACCTAAGCAAATGTTTCGATAGTGCATCCAGAGAGTACGCCACCCTAAGTTACGCAAATTTACATATGAATCAAAAGCAATAGGAATGAAATCTAGGATAGACTACTTTCTTTTGGCTAAAAACTTAACAAAAAGGGTGAAGAAAACAGAAATTTATCCATCAATTGCACCCGACCATAACGCAAATAACATATCTTTGTCTGGGTCATGCGAAAGCCCAAGGGGACCCGGACTCTGGAAATTCAATAACTTATTCAAACACCGTAAAATATTACCGTCAAGTAACAAACAAAGGCCTACTGTGGGAGCTAATCAAAATGGAAATTAGGGATGCGACTATCTCGTACACCAAATATAAACCAAAAGTATCCAGAGACCGGGCAGAGGAAATAAGGCGCCAGCTCGAACAGTTAGACGACACTATTTGTAACAACTTTTTTCTCGCCGGATGTTAACCCTTTGACGCCCAAGTAGCCATATACGGCCACTTAATGGTCGTGCTCTTGGTACCACTTGTGACGTCATCAATTTAAATATCAACTGATATTAAAGTGCACCTAACCCCCAAATTTTTTTTTTCGCTAAAACGAATCCACTTGTTATTTGAAGCATTTGGGCGAAGAAATTTGTGAATTTGGTTGAATCCTCGATTTTCTATGCCCTTTCAAAGTCGCGCGTGAAGTGTTACACGACCGCGTTTCAGTGAGTCTGGGGCGGCGGTTGCTGATGACGTGTACCCAGGAACCAAACACAATGGCGCCTCAGTCAGCTCTCTGTATTTGCTCGAGAAAATGGAAAACAAAACTAATCGTTCCAATTTATTTGGGACTAAATCGTCCAAGTTTTGTTTCAGAATCATTTCTTTTTCGTCACTGGAGTCAGAGTTAGGTTTCGATTCGGAAGACACCGAAATAAACTTCGATCGAGCACG